ACCCCCCCCCCCCCCCCCCCCCCCCCCCCCCGTCCGCTCTATTTTCTCTTTGTCACTGCAGAGCTGAAGCAGGGGCAGGGGGCTCAGTGGTGGTCGAAGCTGAGGGACTGGGCGCACGAGCCGTCGTTTTCGTTCGACGACCTCACACACAAGGCGTTCAGCCTTCGGACCAAGAGCGGCCTACGACCAATCAGCTGGGCCATGCTGGAGAACTACCACGACAAGAACGAGGCAGAGGTGCGCCTTTTTTCTGTCATTTTTGGTGGTGGTAGTGGTGGTGGTGGCGGTGGAAGTAGTTGTTGGTGGAAGTGGTGGTTGTTGGTGTTGGTGTTGGTTGTTGATGGGTGCCAGTTGTTGGCAGTGGTAGTGGTGGTGGTGGTGGTGGCGTCATTCGCCTCTTGATTGTCTCTGACCCGATCCAGGTCACGAGCAGATTGGGCACAGGTGGTTGGGCGCTTCTCTATGTGACCGTCATCCCCTGCCGCACTACCTTCCTACTGGCACCGACCGCCCCTCGAATTTGGTCTTTGACCCCGCCTCTCTGTCCCCCCTCTCCGGAGGTTAAGAGCGTAAGAGCGGGCACTTCTCCACAACCTCCATCCTCCACCATGCCACGCCTCCTTGAAGTCAATCACCTCTTGATTGTCTGTGACCCCGTCTTGTCTCCCCCCCCCCCTCCCCTCCCGCGCTCTCTCCAGGTTAAGAGCAGGATGGACAAGGTGGCCGGGTCGCGGCTGGACCACAAGGGAGTGGCGGCGGACCGAGCGGACGAGGCTCAGCCCTTCTTCTGGCCGCCGTTTCAGCTCACGGCCACCTTCCCGCCCCCGGTGCTCCTGGCCGACGTGCCCGCGAGGGCCAAGCTCGTCAAGTGAGCACAGAAGTGACGGTGGCAACAAACGCTGTGTTGTTGTTGTTGTTGTTGCTGCTGTTGCTGTTGCTGTTGTTGTTGCAGGCACCTGTTAGTTGGCATTGTGACGCATGATGATGAGTTTACGCATGATTTCGATAATCATCGGACAGCAGTGGTCAGCCCACCGTCAGCAATTCTTGGTTCGGAGCTTTCTGTCCTGCCCCCCCCCACCAGCTTGGCCCCATCATACCACGAACTCCTCCCCCCCCTGACAAAATCAAGGTGGGTGCCCGAGATCTTGCGGCATAAACGCCTCCGCGTGGTGTTCACGACGGAGATCCACGGGTACAACCTCGACCTGCTCTACAGCCACTGCCGGACGGTGTCGCCCTCCCTGCTGGTCGTGGAGGCGGCCAACGGAGTTATCCTGGGTGGATTTTGTTCCGACTCGTGGCAGGTGTTGTTGTTGTTGTTGTTGTTTGCCGGTACGTGTGTAGCTGTACAAGCACGGTTCTTTGGTCCCGTTGTTGTGCGAGTGTCACGGTTGTTTGGGGTCACGGTGCCAGGAGAGGGGGAGGGGGCGGGGGCGGGGGCGGCTCTCCGCGGGTGGGAATTTGGCGGGGGGGGGGGGGGGGGGGGGGAG